AATGATTGTGAGGATGGTGCTGGACCAGAGAGTGTTTTGTTGTGTTGTTCATAGGGTCTTTATGGATTGGAACTGATTAGACAACACCTAAGAAAAAAGTGTTTTTTGAGAAGTCACTATGTATCAAGCACTGCATTTTACTTAAGTTGTGTAATTGAGTTTTCACAATGACCCTATGAAGTAGATGGTATTTTTATCCACATTTTACAGACATGTTAACTAATTTGCCTATAGTCAGTCTCGTTAATGGCTGAGCCAGACTTCAATTGCAGCCTGCCTGATTCCACATGCATACATATGATCACTGTGTGATCCTGCCTTCCACTGCTCATGCTTCAGAACACCCCAGAAGGACTAGAATTGTTGTTCCCTTTCTGAGCTTCAGCCCTCTGATGAAGCCCTTTGTTGTCTTGTATAGTCTCCCAGATCCTTTCAGATTTAGGCCTCTGGTCAAGTTGAGCTAACAGCAAAGCACAAAGGTTGTGGGGCCTAGTGCCCTGGCTGGATCAAAGCAGAGGTTCATTTTCCTGGGGTTCTAAGTTTGTGTGCGTGTGTGCGTGTGTGTGTGTGGTTGTTTGTTTTGTTCTGTTTCTCATGGAAACAGACTACGTGGTTCTAAGTCTCAGCGACTTCTCTCCCCACTCAGCTTCTGGCCTTCATTCTGCCATATGGGCATCAATGGAAGGTTCATATACTGGCTTCATTTCCCATCCGCTGTCAGTCCTGGCCACAGATCCTCATTTCAACAATATCCATCCTTTCAAGATAGGTAGCTTTTATTTGTCTGCAAGGAGCACAGACTTCCAAGCTGAATTAAGTTTTCATGTCCATTCAAGATGTTCATTGAACATCTTGTTCAATCCCAGGTCTTTCCATAGGCCAGACCCAACCATATAGAAATGTGTAAAACCTGGTAAAGGGGCCTTAGTCAGGTTTCCAGACTCAAGCCAGCTCATCTCCTCTTTTCTTGCCTTTCTGTCGGCTTCTGTAATTTTTTAACTCCATTTGACAAGAAAGCTGAACTCCCATTTTGTTGCTGCCACTTAGATTGCCCATTCATTCCAAACTCGCTTTTCTGCCTCCATTAAAGTCTTTTTCTTCACTATGCATTTTTGGCATGTTTCCTGCTATGCCCTCTGCCAAAGTTGGGTGGGGCTGTTTGACCCTGAGCCTACCTCTTGCTCAATGTCTCCACAGGGGAAGGAGACCAGGTAATTAGACACTCCCAAGTCCAGATGTCTTACAAAGATTTCCTTTTCCAGAGAAAGCACACCCAATTTCATTTAATAAAAGTCAATAGTTATTTGCAGGATAGAGGTGGCTTAGGGCTTTGAAGCTGGATCTGCATTTACCTCTTGAAGAACTGATGGTAATCCAGTCATGTCTGAAGAGCATTGGTTTCATGGCCTTTCCTTAATCCTAGGATGGGATTTGTGCCTCAGTCCTTCATCTGTAGAATGGGAAATGACAGAAAGCCGAGCCCATCATACAAAGAAGCAGAGGTGTTTGCCCCCAGGGTGCTAAGCACAAATTAAGTGGAGCCAGCTTCAGGCCCTGCACTGATCATCTCCCAGTGTGCTGCTGTTCTCAGGCAGTGCTGCTGCCTCTGATAGCCTCTTGCAGGCTCACTCCATCCTGGCTGGGCACTTCTCTGTGGCCATGACACATCTCTCCATTGGATTCCTGTGTACATCACCACAGAGTTGGTGCGTCATGTGTTCCCCGCCATCTGTCACAGCAGATGCAGAGACTGTAACACTTCTAGCTTAGGAGGGCATCCAACACCCTTGTGGGGTCTTTAAAATTCACAGCTAACAGATAGAGCCTGTGCTTGCATGAAACCCCTCTTAAAGTCAAGATTTAGCAGTTGGTTGCCATGGCAACTTTCCTCATCAAGTCCTAACTCCTTTCAACGTAGATGGCCAAACTGATTTTGAGGAGGAATGCAAAAGAGGGTAGTTTGGTGGGTTCTGGGAATGAAGATCACTTAAGAGCCAAATTTTGGATATCCCGATACTCTAACCTGATAGTTTTAAAATTTCTGTTTCTCTGACTTTGGGCTGCATATGCCATTATATAGAGAAAAGCTTTATCTGTTGTCTGCAGTGTGCCCCACATAACAATGAATGATGGAAGTCTCATAAGGAGATAATAACTATGACGGCAATTTGAGAAAAGTAAATGCACTATGCAAATCGTAGGTATTGCCATCATTAGGAAAATAAGGCTCTACTTGAACTCTGAGTTGTGTCCTGCGTTTATTTTTACATGTTTTTTGGTAACTAGATATCAAATGTGGAGGAAGACTCTTTTTTTTGTCAGTTCTTAATTCTAGGCCAGGTGTCTAGCCAAGGCTATTCTAAGAGTCAGGATGATGGGCTTGACATTCTCCCAAGATAACTTCCTGTATTTTACTATCAAACTGAAATATCCCCAAGGATAATGAAAAGAGTATTTTCCACTAAGGGAGAAGCATATCTGGGCCCTTAACCCATCACTGTGTTTTCACACAAATAACATGTATTATACGTGTTTTGGCAAATTTACAACCCATTTTGCTTTAGGTGGGCTATGCTTGTTGTATGTGTATGCACATTATTTACAAGGGTGCATTATATGCAAAAATAAGGGAATTGGTTTAGCTATCTGCATCTTTGAGGTACAGGATTATCTGTGAATTTGGGCCAAACTCTTTAATTAATTCATTTATTTCATTTCACAATTATTTATTAAAGGCCTATTCATATGGGGAAGAGTCCCTGGGTGACACAAACAGTTAAGCACTCTACTACTAGCTGAAAGGTTGGTTGAACCCACCGAGAAGCATCTTGGAAGACAGGCCTGGTGATCTGCTTCCAAAAGGTCACAGCCTTGAAAATCCTACTCTGTGAAGCTTCCAGAATGAAATAGACTAGGAAGAAAGGCCTGGTAATCTACTTCCAGAAATCAGCCAGTGAAAACCACATGGATCACAATAGTCCAATCCCACTGTGCATAGTATTGCTATGAGTTGGGGGAAGACTAGATGGCAGCTAAGAATAACAATTCATATGGGGCGGGGGAGAGGGGAACTGACCTTGTTTCTGCCCTTGTGTAGCTTATAGTCCATTGTCCATGCTTTCTTTGGAACCAAAATAGTATAAAGCCAGGCTCCTAGTACTTCCCTCCTTTGCCCTTCCTGGTATTTGCTTTCTGTATCTTTATTTCCTTCAGAAAAACAGTCTTTATCCACAAGCGTTATTATCAACTACCTAAATTCAAGCTGTGTTTTTCTGTATTTGACTCACAGCTCCCTGACCATTTCCAGATACAGCTTGCACCCCTGAAGCCAATAAATTGGAGCCCATTGTGGATTCAGACTGTGAGCAAGCCTGACTTTGCCATACAGGAGACCAAGACCAAGTACTGATCTAATATTCTCTGTGGACCCTTCACAAACTAAGAAGTTACTCATTTTTTTTTTTAATCCCAGTCCCTATCACATGGAGCTGAGCAGGTGTCAGGAAAGAGAATGAGGCTTATCTGATAGTGGGGCCATGATAGATAGTAGCTTATGGTTCAGTCTTAAAATGGTTAAGATCCAGCAAAAAGCCCCTTGCTAAGACCATATCTCAAGTTTCCTCCCTTAACTGAGATGCCTCTTCACTTGATTTTCATTGGATTTTTATCTTTGGTAAAAGAAAATCACATTCAAAGCTATTGTTCTATTTTTATACCCTTTTAAGCATCTCTTCCTTGGGAGATAAAGAAACTGTCTACCTATTGTCTCCTTAGGGCAAATTTGCAAATTTCAAGAAGTCATACTTTGTTCTTTCACTAGTTAAAAATTAAATAACCAGCCAGAAAAAGAGTAAAAACTAGTGCTTTGGTGGAAGTGGTCTCAGAACTTTGGGGATACATATCATGTGTAAGTAATTGTTGGTATAAGAAGACAGCAACAATCTTCCTCAAAGTCAGTAATAAATAGAGCAATGATCCTAAATTATTGGATGGTCTGGGATTTATTTGTACATCAGATGAATGTTGTAGAAACCTGCCTTGGGAAAATGCACATGCACACATGTACAGTTTAGCACACAATTTCAGAGAGTTCACAGACCTCTTGGTATATTGAAGGAGTAACTAGTGATAATGAAGCATAGTAATATCCTAAACAAATACAGAGCTGTAGATTATCCTTCTGTTTGCCAGCTCAAGATAGTTAGACAGTTTCACTCAAAAACTAAGGTTTAGAATTCTTATTAAACCATAGTAGGCACAGTATAGTAGTTGTTCTGCGGGAAACAAAAAAGACCTTTGGAGTCAGATATACATCGGTTCAAATCTTAACATTGTCATTTACTTGCTGTGGACAAATCAATTAACTTTTTCAACCTCCATCAGTATAAAGTAGCTAATGTGTTGTTGTTATGTGCCGTCAAGTTGGCCCCGACTCATAGCGACCCCTCCTTGGGTTTCCGAGGCAGTATCACTACAGAAGTAGGATTGCCCAACCTTCCTTCTGAGGAGTGCCTGGTGGGTTTGAACTGCCAGCCTTCTGGTTAGCAGCTACCAGAGCTCCTTACCAGAGCTAATAGTACCTACTTTTCGGGATTCTTAGAAATATTTGATGAATTAACTACCACATGCTTTGAACATTTATTGATCACCTGATATGTGCCTTGCAGTGTAGTGGGCACTACAGAAATCATGATGAAAAAGAAAGTGTCCCTTCCTTCAAAGAGTTCTTGATCATTGTGTTTACAGAGCACACATAGGAGGTACATTGTAAATGTGAGCTTCCTCTATCAGTGACTGCTGACTGAAAATGGATATTGGTGGGTGTATTCATTCAGATGGGTGGTGGAGAGGGGAATATATGACATAAAGGGATTTATTGTCTCATTTGGTCTTCTATTAGTGGCAGCATTTAATCTCACCATTTCATATTAATTTCTCAACACAGACATGTTAATCAATCCATTCATGTTTCTCTTTCTTCCTTTTTACATGTTTCTAAGGGGAATGCCTCTGCTATGAAGGTTACATGAAGGACCCAGTACACAAGCACCTCTGCATTCGGAATGAATGGGGGACAAACCAGGGGTAAGTGAGGTAATGGCCAGTTAGCCGGTTCCCAAGATAACAGCACTCACTTGCACAGACGTGATGTGGAGCAACTGCATGTAGAGAAAGAAAGCTAAAGGGTGGTTATATTCTGAACAGCGAATGGGTAAAAATGTCATTGTTCATTTCCATATTTATACCATTCCAATGACGTCCATATCATCTTTTTCTCCATTTACGAGTCAAGAGATGATGCCTCTGACTCGCAGCCTTGCAGCCTCCAGCTGGGATCTGAAAACCAAGCTGTCCCTCTCTTCCTTTTTACACCACTGCCAGCCATGAGGATTCCACAGGCAGAACTTAGCTGATGATTTTGTTGGAGATACACGAAGCCACACAGATTCCACTGTAGCTCTTCCAGAGATTGACAAGCTTTGCGAGACTGACATGAGTAGAAACTTGTTTTCACCAGGACTGTCAGCAGGGGTGAAATGCAAAGACTCAGAGAGTACTCTGTATTGAATAAGATAACGTTTTATTGAATAAGATAGCATTTTTTGCCTGATGCCTAATTACTGTTTCTCTGTAAAAACCTTTGCTTCTCCCCAGAATACACATGAGAGAGATAAAAGTAGTTCCTTTCTCTGTTGTATTTTTTAAAGCAAATTTCCACTTTGTTTTGAAAACTGAGAGCTTGCCTTGTGCATTGGCTGGGCCATGGAGAGGGTGGGAGGAGAAAGGAATCAATAAACCCTAATTAATAATAGCAATCAGTGGAATAGGGACAACTAGAAAGAAATCAAGGCAAAGACATATTGGAGTGATTGACTGGACTTAAAATTAAGTGTGTGTTTGTACCCTAACAAGGTGGGAAAAAAGAAACCAACATAATTTCTGCCGTATCCATGAAGGAATCACATCCCAGAGGTGGATAATCAGCCCCCTCTGCATGATTCTGGTGAAACTAAGCCTAGAATATTGAACGTAGTCCTGGCCTCCTTGAAGCAATAAATATGGAGACAAATGGGTGAGAGTGTGAAGAAGAGTAATAAAAATGATTGAAGAGCCCAAGAGAGTGATTTATAATGAAGGCATAGAAGAACTCTACTCTGAGAACTTGGCCAGCTGATGACTAAGTCAAAGCATGATAGATACCCACAGATGTTAAAAGAGGGCAAATGTTCTGGAACGGGTTGAAGCTGAGGGATAAGGACATGAGAGAATGAAGTTAAGGAAAGGAAATCTGAGTCACAGGTCAGAAAGCTTGGAGAAGTCAAAATGCCATGAACCTTTTCTCAGAGAAAATGAAGGATTGCTTAGTTTTGACTGAATTTGAGATTTTGTCAGGTAGAAGTCCACAAAATTTAGAGAATGGTGTATGTAGAAGGGTAGCGGCAAAGGGGCAAGGAGGCCGCATCTTCTGACCTCCTCTAACCCCACAAGAGGAAGACAGAATCACTATCAGTAGCCCTATTCTTGCAAGGCCAAACATGCTGCTTCCCTCTAGCCCTTTCACCAACCATTCCTCCTGCAGCACCCACTACCTCTCTGCTGGGTTTGATAATTTGCTGCAGTGGCCACACAGAACTCACAGATTATGGGGTTTATTAGGGAAGCAACAGGCTACAATTGAAGTTCAGGAACACGCTCAGTCTCTCTCAGCCCACTATCTCTCAGCCAGAGGTCTCACTCAGTCTCTTTCTCAGCAGTACATATCTCTTGGTGTCTCTTTCTCAGCAGCACATGTCTCTCAGGAGTGCATTTTTCTCAGCAGCATGTCCTTCTCAGCCAGCAGTCAGAGAGACTCTTTCTGCCTCTAGGAGGGCTCCTTTTGAGCCTGGCAGAGTGGCCAAACTAACCAATCATAACATCAGAATTCTAAACATCTGAGAGAGAGTGAACTTCCCAGAACATTGCTTTGTGCCACTCGCAACAGAAATACCCCAGGTAGATAACTTTAACAATCAGGAGCTCCTCAGTTGCTCACAGAAAATTCCACCAAGGAGCTTACAAAGACTTAAGGCTAGAAAAGCCATACCAGGTAATTTACTACACTGCAGGTAGATACCTATGAATGATCTGTTATTGAATAATTGGTGGGTAGGGCAGGAGACTTGATGATAGATGTGAAAAGGGATATGAATAAAGAGAGCCACTCACTATATAAAGCCCACATAGTCCCTTGATTCTCTTAACCCCTGGAAATGTTTCCATAGTGGTTGGGGAGCCAGAATTTCAGCTTATGTGATAGCCTTGTTGGGAATTTCAGTTGACTGTGATTTTATGGAGTAGAATATTGGAAAGGGTGAAAACAAACAACCTCTCTATCTCTTTGCTCTGAAATTTGCTGCTGAAGAAGAACAACTAGAAAATGCCATTTCATTCTTTGCCCTGAATGATCCAGGCTGGCTCTCTGCAGTGATTGGATTTGAGAGTTAATCACTCAAGCCTCCATGTCTCTTGCCTTATAGATAGATCATGTGAGGATGGGCCTGACTTCCCTTGGTAATTGCACAAGGCTTTGTCATTCCCTCTGGCTGTGTGTAGAGACAGTCTTAGGATGTAGACAAGAGCCTCAAGGGAAATGGTGGGGGCCCCAGGGTTAGTGTCATTTAAAACAAGATGGGCTAAAGCACTGAGTTACAGACTGACAGGAACATTAGCCCCGGGAAATAGACAAGGAGACCTAATCTGTCATTTCCATCTCTAATTTCCATTATTCTTTGATCATCACTGTCTATGAGGTCTCATTTTGAACACTAATAAAATAATGGAGCAACTGTTGGGAGGGGGAGAAAGTGACTATCTTGAGGATAATGGAACCAGGAATGATAAACAGCATGAATATATATATATATATATATATATATATATACACACATATATATATATATATATATATATATGTATATATATAGTATAAGACAAACGACTGAATTTTCTTCAAAAAATTACAAAATAGAAAGTAAAAGATGCCATACAATTTGACTTAAATCAGGTATGTGATGCCATGTTTCTTTAAATGATTCACATAAAATTAACAGAAATGATTTTGAATGTGAAGACTGTCACTTGAAAACTTCCTTACAGATTGCTAACTGATGATACATATTGGAGTATTATTGGAAAAAAAAAAAATGGTAGGTCTGATTTTCCTGCATGTTTTATATAATGTCCCAGAAGGTGGAGGTAAGTAGTACATGTGTGAATATTTATGTTTTTCACTTAGTATGCTATATTGCAGACATAAAAATAGTGGAACATTCTTTTAAAACAAAAGAAATCCTAGGTCAATAATAGTTTAAATCAACTCCTTTGTGAAAAATCTAGGTTAATGTACCAGAAGAAAAGTAGCAATAAGCATTTGTGACTTTCAGACCAAGAAGAAAATTGATCAAGGACACTAGTACAAAAAGTTACAAATGAATAATTCTGTGAGACAGAGGATTTAGGCTGGATAACTTTATCCAGCTTTGCCTCGCTTTCCATATTACTGGACTTTTTGTTGTTCTTGCTTGTTCATTTATTTGTTTTTTTGTGCTTTGGGTGCAAATTTACAAAGCAGATTTGTTTTACATTCATCAGTTCATGGACATTTGATTTCATAGCCCCGATTACCTCCCCAACCATAAAAAATTCTCCTCCCCTCTTCTCCCTCTGACTACTCACTCCCTGTGCCCTTCTTAATCTGTACATTTCTGTCTGTCCAGCTTTCCCTCTATGTGAATGCTGCCCCTCTGATGTCTCATGGCTAATTGATCTAAGGGGTGCATCCCCTAGAGTAGGGGGGTGCATTGCTGTGGGGTAGGTGTTCTGCATGTAGGTCTTTCTACTGTCAGACTGAGCCAGTTCATGACCCTGGGTTACCCTTTGGGCCTAGAAATGGACTCACTTCTGTGGATTGTTCTTAGTTTTCATGGTAGTAGCCCAGTTTGTTTATTGGAAACTTCTCACCATGACATTCCATCATTTACTCTTCTACTCATTTATGTTTTCAAGAAATATTCATTGCATTGCATATTGTAGGACAGGCCATGCTAGCTTACTTCTCAACTGTTTTATGAGAAGGTGTGGTTCCTGGTCTGGAGAAACTAATAGTCTAGATAAGTAAATGGGCACATACCAAACAATTGCAAATAATCCTAAAACATACTCAAATAAAAGAAAATGTCCAGAGGATTATAGTTTAAGGAGTGACTTATGGAGAATATAAGCAATAGAATTTCACTGAAGTTAGATTTTGACCTGTTCTATTTGACAGATAATGAGGGTAATTCTAAGCAAAGGGAATAGCATGGGCAAAGGCATTGTATTAGTTTCCTGAGGGTACCATAATAGATTATCACATATTGACTGACTTAAAACAACAGAAATTGACTCTCTCAAAGTTCTAGAGGACAGAAATCAGAAATTAAAGTGTCAGTAGGGTTGGTTCCTTCTGAAAGCTCCGAAGGATAATCCATTCTGTGCCTCTCCTGTACGTTCTTGAGGTTGCTGGCAATGCTTGGCATTCCTTGAATTGTAGATGCATCACTCCAATCTCTGCCACCTTCTTCACATCACCTATTCTTCTGTATGTCTCTTCCCTTGTTTTCTCCAGGACAGTCTCATCTCAAGATCTCTAACTTAATTACATTTGCAAAGACATCACTCCCGCCCTACCCCCCCCCCCCCCCATAAGGTCCCATTCACTAGTTCCAAGAGGAAATATTATTTAGGGAACTACCATTTAATCCTCCATAGACATGGAAACAAAGAAACATGTTTTTTTGTTTTTTTTTTTTTCCCCAGGAATAACAGATAAATAGCTTAATGTATCCTCAAGAATACAGTGATAGGTGGGGAGTTTAAGAGGGCAAGGACTAGATCTTAAAATGTCTTGTTTGCTAAGGTTTTGGTCATTAAAGTTCCATGTGTACTAACTATGAAGCTCCGTGGTGTCTGTATAATTGACGGGATAGCACCTCACTTCTTGTTAGGTACTGCCAAGCCGATTTTGACTCATAGTGACCCGATGTGACAGTGGAAGTGCCTCATAG